AACTGTTTTAGCAAATCAACCTTGCAACTAAATTACTTCCAGTGTTTCTCCAACATGTTACAGGTCTACTAAAATTCATTATTCATCAATTTACATAAATTAAAACATAATCTACACCAGAAAGTATTTAATACAGAACAATATAAGTATATAACCACATCCAGTTTGCAAGCATCTAACCATGGAACTGTTGACGCTAAAATCGGCCGATTAGAGCCGATCTTAAATTGATGAGTTGCGGGTGTGCCAGAACCAAATATATGGTTCAATTGTTAATTGTCAACTTATAGTCTCTGAGGGAATGTTGACTTCAGGCGATTATAGGAGATAGGGAACAAATAAACTCCTAAATTAGTTTAAAATTGCCTTAGTTAAAAGGACTTTCTGTAAACAAATTATAGTAACGTAACGAGAGAATAGAAATGGGGAGATAATGGATATAACAAGAAAAGAAAAGGAAAGAATGAAGAGAGAAGAAGAGAGAGAGAGAGAGAGAGATGAAGAAGCAATAGCAAGGATGCTATTCTTAGAAAGGCTTGAAGAAGCAAACAAATAATAATAATGATTCTGAGGGTGTTAGACCTCTTATACAGCGTGCCTATCTGTTTATTTATAGAATAAATGGTAAAACAAATTCCTAAATACAAACATCCTAATTATATTCTAAAACAACCACATAATTATTTAAATTAAACTAATCCTAATTAAATACTAATTCCAAATAAAATCTAATCCTATCGATAAACCAACTAAAAATAAATTCAAACTAAACATTCCTAGATAAACACTAATTCAAAAATCAAGTAAACACATAAATCTTATCTAACATAAAGTTCAAGAATATTCTATCCATGTAGCATCTTTGCATATAACGTTATTTTGTATGAGAACTGCCACGTCACTGTTCATGTATAGCACTAATGGATTTTATTCCAACTAAAATGCTATTCCAAACCACCTTCAATCCAATCACATTCCATGACCCATATATCCTTCTCGGCCCAAACTCCTAGCGCATTATCACTGACCAGGCTTTACGTTCTTGGCCCATATTACTATATCATTTATCATCAAGTCCAATTGAAGCCCAAACCCAATTACCAAAATGGGTGTCAATAGGAACCCAGTTTAATTTTAAACCTTATTAAATCCTGGAGTTGTATTAAACGTGCAAAGAACACGAGCCTATGGGAGAGAGTTAATACAAAACTTGCCTTTGAGACTTTTGTTCAAAATCTCTACGTTGTCTTCCTCAATTCCCCGGCGAAATCTCTGTTTGCCTTCTCTGGTTTCTCTCTGCCTCCACTATCATGAATAAGGTTTTTCTAAAAACCCTAGGCAGAACTCAATACTTACATTTATAGGTTTTTACAAGAAACCAAATTTTACTTCAAGCCCTCATTTGAATCATAGCCGGCCCATAAGCAACCCAAATTTACGTCGGTTTATAACTTAAACCTAAATAGAAGTAAAACCCTAACGATATTTTCATACTTAATAATTAATTAAACCATTTAATAATTACTTCAATTAAAGGAAACAATAAATTCCAATGTAACGTAATACCGAAAATAAAACAATTTTATAATTAATACAAAAAATAAAATACAATTTAATAATGAATTAATTCACAAAATCACCATTAAATAACAAGTCATCAGTTATTGCAAATAAACACACCAATCAACAATTTAAACAATTTAAAATTCAATTAAAACAATAAATTAAATATCATGACTATCCTTTTGAAATTAGGGGTATTACAAATCGTGGCGACAACTTGCCACTCTTCTCGAACCTCATCAACCCCTTCCTTGGAGAAACCTGAAGAAAAATGTGATCTCCCACCTCAAAGGATAGCGGTTGTCTCCGTCTATTTGCATAACTCTTCTGTCAGCTCTGAGCTGTAAACAATCTCTGTTTGATCAGCTTAATCTTCTCGGTAGTTTCGAGTACAATGTTTGGTCCTAAGGCGGCTGTCTCGCCCACCTCAGTCCAATAGATAGGAGACCTACAAGGTCTACTATATAACGCCTCGAATGGAGCCATCTGAATACTCGCCTGATAACTGTTATTGTAGGCAAACTCAATAAGTGGAAGGTGATCCTCCCAACTACCACCCAAGTCAAGTACATAGGCCCGAAGCATATCCTCCAAGATCTGGATGGTACGCTTCGACTGGCCGTCCATCTGTGGATGGAATGCGGTACTAAGGTGCAACGCTGAGCCAAACGCTGCTTGAAGTCCTTCCTAGAACTTCGAGGTGAACTTGGTATCCCTATCTGAAACAATAGCCACTGGAACTCCGTGCAATCTTACAATCTCTTTCACATAAAGCACACCAAGTGCCTCTGGATCATCTGTTGCCTTAATAGGCAAAAGTGAGCTATCTTGGTCAATCTATCAATAATGACCCATACAGCTTCATTTCCCCTCCGTGACCTAGGAAGAGTTGTCACAAAATCCATTGCAATCTCCTCCCATTTCCACTGCGCTACCGGCAATGGCTGCAATAAACCAGCTGGTCTCTGGTGCTCGCCCTTCACCTGCTAACAGATAAGGCACTTAGTCACAAATTGTGCAACGTCCTTCTTCATTCCATTCCACCAATACTGACGTCTCAGATTGTGATACATTTTGGTACCACCTGGATGAACTGCAAAGCGAGAAGTGTGAAACTCCCGTAAAACGTTATCACGACAAATTATGGGAACAACCAATAAACCCCTAAACTGTAGACCTCCATCTGCATGTAAGGCCCAATCCTTCACGGTCTCGCCACTGGAGATCAGAGTGTAAATGACATCCAAATCCGAATCCTGTCTCTGTGACTCAATCACCCTTCTAACAAGAGCGGGTTGAGCCACGAGACTAAACAAGAATGCTAACTCATTGCCATCATCATCATCATCAAAGCAATACAATCCCATTTCAGCCAAATCTTCAATCATCTTCCACTTTCGAATGGCTAAACTAGCTAAAGTCCCACGAGATTTTTGGCTTAAAGCATAAGTTACCACATTTGCCTTACCAGGATGATACTGCAAATCAAAATTATAGTCTTCTAAGAACTTAACCCACCGCATCTGTCTGTTATTCAAGTCCTTTTGGGAGAAAAAGGTACTTGAGACTCTTGTGGTCCGAGAACACTTCAAATCTCTCACCATACAAATAGTGTCTCTAACACTTCAAAGCAAAACACGACTGCCGCTAACTCTAAGTCATGAGTAGGGTAGTTAAGCTCGCGAGTCTTCAACTGTCGAGACCCATAAGCCACTACTCTATCATTTTGCATCAGTACACAACCCAAACCATCACGTGAGGCGTCACAATAGATCACATAACCGAAGCCACGCTCGGGTATCACCAACACTGGAGCCGTAGTCAACCTTATTTTCAACTATTGAAAGGATGACTCATAGGCCTCATTCCATGCAAACTTGATCCCTTTCTGGGTCAATTTGGTCATAGGAGCTGCCAAACGGGAAAAATCCTTCACAAATCTTCGATAATAGCCCGCTAGGCCAAGGAAACTCGGATCTCAAAGACAATCTTGGGTTGCTCGCAATTCAAAACAGCCTCTACCTTTGAAGGATCAACTGAAATCCCATATTCTGAGACAACATGTCCCAAAAATTTCACCACTTGTAGCCAAAACTCACACTTTTCATATTTGGTGTACAAACGGTACTCCCGTAAAATCTGCAACACTATACTCAAATGGACCTCGTGCTCCTCCCGAGTCTGTGAATACACAAGAATATCATCCACGAAAACTACCACAAACTGATCCAAGTAATCGTGGAAGACACGGTTCATTAGATCCATGAATGCCGCTGGTGCATTAGTCAAGCCAAAGGGCATAACAAGAAAGTCATAATGTCCATATCGCGTACGGAAAGCGGTTTTTGGTATATCCTCTTTTCTAACTCGCAATTGATAATAACCTGACCTCAAGTCAATCTTTGAAAAACAATTAGCTCCTCTCAACTGATCAAATAAATCATCTATCACTGGCAAATGATACATGTTCTTGATGGTGGCATGATTCAACTTTCGGTAATCAATGCACAACCTCAAATAACCATATTTCTTCTTAGCAAATAAGACCGGTGCACCCACGGTGACACACTCGGTTGGATATAGCCTTTCACTCTCAAATCATCAAGTTATTTCTTCAATTCTTCCAATTCAATTGGTGCCATACGATACGGTGCCATAGAGATTGGCACGGTACCAGACATCAAATCAATAGCAAATTCTACCTCTCGGTGTGGAGGCAACTCAGTCAAGTCCTTTAGAAACACATCTAGAAAGTCACGTATAATTTCTGGATAACCAACCCCACAAAACTCCACATCATCATCGGTGAACAGACTAGCCAAGAAGAACGTCTGTCGATCCCGACTTCTAACACCATATAATGAATGAGTGAGAGGATCACACCGATTTCTTACAAAACATAAACAATCCCCATCTGGGGTACACACTGAAACTCTGCCTCTGAAACAATCAATGATAGCTCTAAAGGACGATAACCAGTCCATCCCAAGTATGACATTAAACCCTGTCATCTCGAGAAGGATGAGATCGAACTCAAGAACACATCCTGCAATCGTGATGGAATAACTCCTACAAACTCTACTAAGAGCTACTGAACCCCTGATAGGCGTGTCAACACAAAGCGGTCTGTCTAACTGACTGACCTCCAAACCGAATGCCCGTGCAAATGATGAAATAATGAATGAATAAGAAGCACCAGAATCAAACAATACATGAGTCCAAGAATGGGACATAAAAAATATACCCCTGACAACTGAAGGACTGGATGATGGCTCGGCTGGAGTGAGTGCAAACACGGGACCCTGGGTCCTCTGCCCCTGAGAACCGCCTGCTTGATAACCAGACTGCTGAGTGGGTGCACTCGAAGAAACTCCCCTACCCGGTCGAGAACTCTGGGCTGACATGGTTGGCTGAGACGGCTGAGGTGGTGGTGGCGGTCAAAACCCTGACCGAACTGTGGTAGACTGCATCTGCCTTTGCTGTGAACCTTCACCTCTGCCCAAACCACTGCCCCGCTGTGGACAATCTTTCACCCTATGGCCCTGCTGGCCACACCCGAAACATCCACCAGACGCCACTTGAATCTGAGTACACTGGGACTTGTGATGCCCTGGCTGCCCACACTTGAAACAAATCACCTGAGCTACCTGAGTCTGAGTGCATTGGGACTTGTAATGTCCTAACTGCCCGCATCTGAAACAAGTAACATTCGGTCTAGAAGACCCCATGGACACCGAAGTTATGGGTGCGGATTTGACTGGTTGCTGTCCCTTGAACCCTGATTGCTCATGCTTCTGCTTCTTACTTGATTGTCCCTCAGAGAAAGCACTCATACTCCTATTGTGCTTGTAAGACTCCTTAATAGCCTTGCTGTCTTTGCGCTCAGCCTTAACCACTAAGGCCTTTCGCATTGCTTTTACATACTCTGTCGATTCTGAAGCAGCTACAATTGGCTTAACAGTAAGATCAAGGCCATCAACAAATTTCTCTATCTTTCCTTCCTCATCATTAGCAATCCCAGGTGCAAACCTCAAAAGTGACGTAAACTTGTTCTCATATTCTGTAACTGTCATGTTTCCTTACTTTAACCCATCAAACTCCTTCTTTAGCTCCCTTCGCTTAGGTGCCGGAAAGTACTTCTCATAGTACAACTTCTTAAAAGTATCATATGTCATAGTATCCAAATCGTGTGTGTTTGAAACGGTCTTTCACCATATCTCAGCATCACCAATAAAATTGTAAGTTGCCAATATGATCTTCAACTTGTCCGTTGCCAAATTCATGGCATTAATATGCTTCTCCACTCTATCCACAAAACTATCCGCAACAAGCGGATCTGGGCCTCCCTCAAACAGAGTTGGCATCAATTTCACAAACTTTGCAATGTGGTAAAGAGTATCATTCAACTCATTTGTCTTTGGAGGTGGTGGTGGTGGTGGTGCCGGTGGTGGCACAAACTATGACGATGATGCTTCTGCCAGCCGAAATGCTTTGAAAATAGATGCCTCAATAGCCAACAACAACTGTTCCTCATTTATCTGAAAAGGTGGATCAACGGTCTCCTTCACTTGTCCCCCTCTTGGTGGGACCAAATCACGCAACAAGATATCCTTCTCAACTTGCTCCTGATCCTTTTCCACGGGATTGGAGCTAGAACTTTCCCCGGGATCCTTTCGTGGTGGCATGACGCTATAAGAAAAAGGAAACAGATAAAAAACGATGGTACTGAAACACGTCCGAAAACTGAGTCCTCACATGAATGACTTGACAAGAATGGAAATACATAAACACTTTCCATACTCCCAGAATACCTAACTAATGATAAACATAATGATGCCAATGATATACAACAACATTAAGCACTTAGCACGTAATCATATAAGTAATTAAACAATTAAGCGTGCCTTTCAAATAATTAAGCACCTTAACACATAAGCATATAAACATGTAATCACGTAAGCAATTAAGCAAATAACTTAACTTCCCATGCAATCCTAGGTAGGTCTCTACCCGTCGTCCTAATGGTATTCGAACCATCGCTCTGATACCAAATTTGTAACGACCCGAAAAGATACCAAAATAATAATAATATCTATAAAAATTTCGGCATGACCTTCGCAGAAAAAGTCCCTCTACAACCTGTTGAAATACAAAAAATAAATGCAATGGCCTCACTGGGAATTAAATTTAACCTATCCTATCCCAACGCACAATACAGATATTATATTACATTCCCAAAATGGTTACATACATACAAAAGTCCCGTTCCTCCATAATGTAATGTTGTGATATATATGTATATATATTTAATGTTAAAAGAAAAAGAAATAAAGTTGGTGGGCCCCACTAATATATTAAACATAACAAAAGGCCATAAGGCCATTTCTCAGACTCGTGGGTTTTCTCTCTCTCTGCTGCATCACTCCTCTCGGCAGTTTTCTTATTTTTTTTCTTTTTTTGCAATTTCAAACTTGATCTAACTCTATCCCTTTAAAATTTGGTAGAACCTTGTGAAACAAAGACGGAGAGCTTGTCGAGGCCTTCAATTTGATGGGAGCCAATCATCATTTGGTGCACTCTAGGGAGTTCGAAATTCTAGGGTTCTTGGGCTCAAATTGGGGGTTTTCATCAATTTGAGGTAGGGGTGTTCTAATCTACTTCTTAGTTTTTTTTTTGTGAATTTTCCCCTTAAATTTGATCCCAAGCATGCTAATTTTGATTACCTAGTTTGTGGTTGTTGTAAGTATGATTAACTAAAATGAAAGATGTGTTCCATGTGTTATTTGAAATCATATATATGACTAGATTTATTATGGTGAATGAGCATGCTTAGTGTTGACATATTGTATGCCCTAAGATTATGTATTTATTTATTTATTGCTTTGAAAAATTGATGCTATGGTCAATAAATAAATAAAGAAATAAAAGAAATGAATGTTTAGAAATTTTCATTAAATTGTGATGATGATGTAAATGGAAATGTGAGAAATCATATGGTTAAATTGATGATTTGAAGCATGAAACATTCATGCATCCATTGGGAAAGAGAAAGGGGGAAAAATATTTGTTAGAACAAATAAAATTGTTTTGGGAAAAATATTTTCTAAAAGTGTTGCGAAAACCGGACGCCTAGGAGGCGCCTAGTGGTCTGTGATGTTGGTGTAGTCTAGAAGGGAATGTAGTTGAGTTAACTAAGCCGGATGCGACGCCTTGGAGGTGCCTTATGGTGGTGGATAGTTAACCAACCTTCCTTTCGTGACGCCATGGAGGTGCCTTAGGTCGGACTACACTAACGGTTTAGTTGTTGAAACGGAATTGTTTCGGAAATGGAGAGTGACATTTGTATAACATTGCACTTCATGACATCGTGGTAAATTTGTGATTGGTTGATATTTGTTATATATTTGTTATTATGGTTGAGAATGTGTGTTTCCCGATTGCATGATTCCGTTCACTTTTTTTCTATTCATTGTATGGATTCACGGGGACATAAGAAGTGTGTCTTAGACACTTCCTACTGAGTTTATGCTCACCCCATTATTTTTAACATTTTTCAGGATATGGAAAAGAGGTGGCGGATGACGATCCACCACAAGTTTAGATGAGTTTGGGGATCTATTTTATTTTTGCTATATTTTGTATTAGAACTCTAATATTTTATAAATGTAATATTAACTATCTTGTGAGATTTTAGTTTAATTAGTATAATGTTGTAAGTTATGGACTTTTAAATTATAACTATATTTTTGGACTGTAAATTGATGTAACTAAAATGTGTCCCTTGTTTAGATGAGATGGAGGAACGGAACTTTTGTATGTATGTAACCATTTTGGGAATGTAATATAATATTTGTATTGTGCGTTGGGACATGATAGGTTAAATTTAAGGTCCAGTGAGGCCATTGCATTTATTTTTGTATTTCAACAGGTTGTAGAGGGACATTTTCTGCGGAGGTCATGCCGAAATTTTTATAGATATTATTATTATTTTGGTATCTTTTCGGGTCGTTACACTGAAGATGAATGAAAATTGCTAGATACGGGCTTAGGGTGAAGAGTCGGCATTGCAGGATTTATTTGGAGAATTTTGTATATTTATGAGAAAATTGACCTTTTTTTTTTTTTTTTTTTTTTTTTTTTTTTTTTTTCCCGAAAAAAAGAGGACATTTTTTTTGATTCCTGGGTGTATTTTGATATATCTGGATTTGTATAAATTGAGGATTTTATTAGAATTTTCGGACAGTGACAAAATGGTATCAGAGCATTTTACTAAAAAATTCGGGTCGTGACATTTCTTGTAAGGGCCAAGGGCCTATATAAGGGGGTGAGAGGTCATTTGTTCCTTACCAAGCAACAAGATCAGTACACATACTTGCAATCTTCTCTTGATAGCAATACAAGTCTTCTACATTCTCACACTCTCACAAACTCTCTTGCTCACTTGCCTTCTCTTCCTACACACTTGCAAGCACTTGTCTAGCTGGTAGGCTGACTTAGCGGGCTTGAACGTGTGTAAGGTTGCACGTGAACTTGGAAATGTATAAGTCCATGACACTTCCTTTTTGATTTGAAGAAATGTGCCTGCAACTTTCTTTTGCTACTATTCAATGGTTCGAATTTGGACAATAGAGACATGTAGGATATTTCACTCCTCCAACTTTCAAAAAAAACAGCACGAACTACATCTAAGATTTTGTCGCACACATTCATGTTAATTCACCATTGAGGACTAGCGATACACGTGTGACAGCTCTAGATACTCTCCAAACTTCATGTTGTACGGAAAGCCAGGCTTCTGTGTTGTTCAGATTCTTAGCATTTTGTATGGCATCATCTATTCCAGGGAAGGATGTAGATCCATAATCGTTGTGCTTTGATGGTGCATAAATCTGAGAGATGCAAAATAATAGTTAGATATGGTCCATTTATATAGAACTACCATAATGTAATAATATCTGTTGGGTAGAATCTGATGTGTTTTTCTTTTAGTCTAACTAATTTTCATATAGAGGTAGCAAGTTTTGTCTCACATTTGTTGGGGATATGATCTGAAGGTAACAAAAGAATAGTCACATAGTAGACAACAAGAAGGTATTGTGCTCTGTGTTATTTATTTAGACCTAGTTATAGGAGTGGCGCGCTATATCTTACATTTTCTAGAGATGTATGAGAAAGAAACAAATGAATAGTTGCATTTACTTCAGGAATCACTTGTTGTTTAGAGGGAAACATACCAAATGCTTATGCCATGGGCTTCCAGTGAGTCCTTCTCTGTCTGTGAATGCCCGCTCTGCCATCATTAGTCTATCATTCAATTCTCTCGTTTTACAATGGTCATTTTTCCACATCGATGCCCAACCTTTGTTTTCTTCCAACGCCTGGAAAGTTATATTTTTTCATATGATACAACATAATGTATAACTTTATGGATATCTAAAATAATAGAAGCTTGAGTGATACCTTTCTCTGCCTGTTTATTTTGGTGGCTGCTCTGTTGAGCTCTTCAATGGATTTAAACAAAGGAATAAGGCTTATGCCTTTATCTGATACATCACCTTCCAACTCTTCTGCGCTTTTCTGTTTTCAAGGATTTTGACGTACTTACTTTTCCACTGAACGCCCAATACAACTCGCATGCACTATTAGAATGTGAGTTTAGTGATTGCATCACAGTTACCATATGCATACCTGGAGCTCGCTGACATAGGAGAGATAATTGAAAGGCAAAAATTCCTCATCGGCAAGCCGAAGAGCCAATAAGCCCCAGACACTAGCCACTGTTTTCATTAATAAACAATCATATAACCGTATGAAAAGTATTAATTGTTGCCAACAATTTATAAAGCTCGGACTTTGTCAATAAATAAAATCAAATGTTCAACTACACATTTTAGTAAATGTGCTTCACAAGAAAAATAGAAGTAATTGATATTGAGTAAGTAAACCAATGTGGTTTTGTTTATAAGTAACAGTATGAAATGCCTTGAACATTTTATCTTTGATGTAATCTTCCAAATCCACAAGTAATAACCAAATAAGGTCTCAGATGTTTATTTTGTCATGGAGATCTTCAACTGTTTTAGATGTTATTAGGTTAAAATCATAAAACAAACCTGCTACATGCCTACGAAACATAGGGTCACCAAATTTCGTCATCCATACAAAGTCATCGTACATCGAATGGTAGACAGGGTAACCTGCATTTGACAAGTTCTGTTAATAATCTTTGAAATATGTAAACAAAATGCCACTTTTGAAACTGGATCTAACCTTTTAGTTGCTGCAGAATTTGGTGACTTCAATTTTATGCAAGAATGTGATAGCTGAAATACTTATTAAACAATTTGGAATATAGAATTGAAGCTAATGAAAGTATTGCAAGTAAAAGTTCCCTGTATCAACAATAAGCAATCTTGATTTATTACATGCTTGTAAATTAGCTGATTACTGGTACCGGCTAATATTTGTATAGAAGATATTTCTGTTGCAGAGCAATGTGTTGGCAGTTCTCTAAAATTTATTGGTCAAGGTCATTAGGAGTATGAATGTTCTTGGTGCTCAGCCTTGGTTGAGGAGGTGGTGTGTGACATGCTGACCTATGAAGTGTGAGCTTGGGTGTCATGGTGAGTGTGGGTTGCCACCAATCATAGTGTTTACAACTGAGTGTTGTTTCGGAAGTCCATACATTTTCCAAGGTTCTTGTGTACTTCTGTATGTTTTTACTTATCCTTTTGGGAGGGGTTGACAGTTCTCTCAAGGTCATAGGTCACTTTTTGTCCCTAAACATGCCCAAAACATGAGCACTTGAACTGGGTAGGATCCTATTTGTTATGTTTTTGTCAAGTTTTACGGATGGAATTAATGATTCTTTGCACTAGTTGGAATTAGTGAGACAGGAGCCGGGGAGTCGATCAATTGGAGCAAGGAAGCAATGATCACAACTTCTAACACTCTTGTGGGGCGTTAATAATTTGAATAGAGCATGACGGATGTCATGCCTAAGTGGTGCAAGTGTGATTCTACAGCCTCATAAGGAATAGTAGAAAAAGCTCGAGTATCCTCGAGCTGATGCTATGTTAAGCTATGGTATGCTTGCTTCTTGTTTGACATAGATTTATGTGCAGACATAGCCTCTAGAGTATTGAGTTTGAGGACTTACCGACATTGGCTGACAAGTAAAGTTGGCATGACACGGGGTATTACCAATGAAATCTTGAATGCGGTTAACGATAATACCAATGGAGAAAGCTCTGGCAAGGACGAAGGAGGAATTGTGTGAGTCCTTGCAACCATCATTGAAGACTTGGCATTACCACGAAGTCATGAACAAGAAGTTCATGGGAGAGAACAAGGTGAAGCCTATTGGCATTTTAGACACTAAATTTTTCCAGACATTTGTTTGGGTCAGGATTACGTGGGGTTGCACCTCAGGTGGAGACAATGGTGGTGTTAGGCAAGTACCACGGCCATGGTCGTGACAAGAAAGCAGGGTTGAATTCGTGTTAAAGTCAAGGGTCATGTTTGAGGCATGTGTCATAAGCTTAGTTGGTAATAGACGGACCATGACATTTAGATAATTAGGATTATGACTTCAGATAAGCAACACATGTTTTCGAGTTAGAAAATTAAGTAAACATAGTATCTAAACACAATCTAAACATAATGAAAGTAAGGAATGCAAGAAAATATTTTTGTTCTCTCTCAATTTGCGTTTTCCAGTGTTCATGGTGGATCTTCTAATAATGGCGTTGCTAGTGTTGTCTTTTGGCATGCACTAATGTTGCTTTACAAGTTCATTTTTGGGCTACAAATTGTAATTTGCAGTTGCTCTGGCAGAATTTGATTTCTTGGTTATATATCCATGTTATTTATACTTGTTCTTTTTCCCCTTTGTTCTTGATTCTAAATTAATGGCTCATGTTAATTTTCATCCTTTGTATTTGTGTGACAACTTTTACTAAGAGTTGTCTTATAACTAGGTTCTCAATTCTCACAGCATATTCTCGGGTATGTACAAGTGGTGCATGATTTAGCATGAGTGCCATATCGTTTGTGTAACATGTTACTTCTACATTGGGAAACGACTAAGACAACTTGTTGGGCCATCACCTTGGTGCTAATAAATATAATTGTATTTAGAGTAAGCTTTGACACAAAGAGGGCGTTTGGCAACCATTTTAACTGAGAAAAAGGTAGAGGATGTTGTGCTTATCCTAGTAATGCATAATTTATCGTTTACTTTTATTTTCTGTTCTCTATATTTAGCCTATGCACCATTGAACAACTCACTTTAAAATTTTTACCGAGTAGAATTTGTAAAGTTTAAACATCACACTTGAAAGGAAAAATATCATACATAATACATAAAGAAATACGGTTATACAGTCATAAACAGAATATATAAACCAATGCTTGCTTTACCAAATAAAATGTGTCCAAAAAAGAAATGTGTTTGTTACCTTCTCCAAAAGACAAATCTGCTGCTGCTGGAACACCAACATGTTGTACAAATGCTGCATAATCTGATCCTCCACCTCCTAACCTTCCAATCTTTGATAACAAAAATTTAGATAAATCAGTATAACCTAGGAAGCACGGATACTTCTACAAGAGTGACGTATCCATATCGGATACTAATTATCCTTGGATATTCATGGATACGTGTCTGATACTTCCCATATGGTATTCATAGTTTTAGAATACATATTTTTATTTCTAACACGCATCACATCATATTGAGTCCATATCCCGTGTCCGTATCCATGCTTCATTGGGTATAACTAATTTTTTTTCTGTTAATTGAAGTTGCTTGGATGGTTGCAGTGAAGCAACTTTGAAATTCTTACCATGGGAGAATTGCTGGATCCAACCCAGGATTCATGGATAGTTTGTGATGAGTTATCTGGATCTTGAACCTTCAAAATTAGTTTTAAGTTTGATTAAGATGAGTGAAAAGATAGTTACCAAGAAAAAGAAAAGATGAGTAGCTGCTGCACAATAGGTTTGGCTAAGAACAGTAGTAGTATCGCTGCTACTTATAAACACCTGTAACTGCAAATATTGCTTGTACTTACGAGTGCCATTATTTTTAGTAATTATTTGGAGATACCTGTTGAGTAACTTGTTTGAGTAGTTCATCAAGCTGCGGAGTTGCAGAGAGATGGAAACCTGCTCCAGACACTGCAGTGTCTACATTCAAGTAAGCAACAGCCTTCGATGCTAGTATTTCCCTGTTTTCTTCAACCCATTCTGTCGATCCTATCTGGAAATGAAGGGTTGCTTGAATTTGGTCAAATTTGTGTGTTTGTGTCTGTTGTATGTGTGTGTGTGAGAGAGAGAGGGAGATACCAGACCATACTCCTCAGCATCCCAATTGCAGAAGACAATTGTCCGTCGAGGTTTCCACCCTCTTTTCTGCAGCTTCCCTAGCCTTTGCGCAACCTCCATTCCACATAAAAGATCAGGGAAAAGGTTAATTGTTATTTAGAAACATGGAAATCTTTTTCTTTTTAATTCCTTTTTTTCCCGACCGAGTAGGGATTTGACAATGGAATCCACTGGTTCTAAAATTACCTCAAGCAGAGCTGCAGTTCCACTGTTGGGATCAGCGGCTCCAAATGTCCATGCATCCCGATGATTACCCAGTATGACAAACCTATATATATATATATATATATATAGTTGCAACTCAGTAATTAAATTGTGATAAGATGAGCTCCTTTAATGATTAACGGAACATTTGTGATTAACTCATCTATATATATTAGACGTGTTATTGTGCCAATTTGGGGATGCATTTGTACCTTTTTTGTTAGCATACTGAAATCCCTAATTGATTATAAGCTCCCCATGAATTCTAGAATTCCCGCGTTACTGTTTTGAATAATTTGAAATTACCTGTCAGGTTCTTCTGCTCCTTCAATTACGCCAATAACATTTTGGATTGTGCTTATGACTTGCTTTCCCTGAGAAGAACATTAAAAAGACCTATTCATCAATTTGCTTTCTCTGATAAGGTTAGATCTTCAAAATTAAAGTTGAACCATACTGCAAGATACATGCAGTTTGCCGTCTAAATTGATACTAGTTTTGACACTTACCTTGTATGTAAGATTAACAATTCCAGGCCCTGGTCCAACCCTGTAAACCGAGACATTTGCACCTCCCTGCCAATCATCATTCGCTACTAATCCACCAATGGACCTTAAGATTGCTTCACCATTTGCTGCTGATATAGGCAATGAAGGTATCTTAGGAATGTCTTCTCGCCTCTCCACCTCATCATCTGATATCCTCTCACAAGCACCGCTACTTGGCCAACCAGGTGTGGTAGGATCACCAGTCCCACCATAAACCGATCCTACCTGAACTCCACTCGGTGGCATCCATTTATCATCGGGAAACCATTTTGCATCACCTCCGCCGCCACCATAGTCCTTTCTATCTGTATACACCACCGCCCCTACAGCACCTGCCTCATAAGCATTTCCTACAATGTCCCCTCTATATATCTTTCCATACCTTGCCAGTACAACAGTACCAGACACGTTGACTCCCATCTCTTTTAAAGTCGCATAATCCTCCACTCGCCCATAATTCACATAAACCACGGGTCCAGACACAGTACCCGACTTTGCGTAAGCATGGAACGTGGGTAGGACTTCGTGAGCAACATCAGCATACGGATCACCTTCATAGATCTCCTGTCTCATGTCTAATTTTGTTGGTGCCTCGTGAGGGGAGGGTGTAAGTGTCAAGGAACGTGAATCCGGATAGGTGAGGAGCACATCATAGGACGCCATGTGTGATCGGATGTTGCAGGAAGTGAGAGTGGATAGAACGTAGTCTGCAGCATCGGCGTTGGCTTGTGAGCCTGCAACGTGAGGCCGGCGAGTGAGAGTGTAAAGGTCGTGTGAAATTGAGGCATTGTCTGAAAGAGAACTTGATATGAATAGGGAGTGATAGGAATATTTTGAAGGGGGTGAAGAGGAGAGGAAGAAGAGAGGTGTGGCTACGGCTATGAAGGTGATGATTGTTTTAAACATTGAACTTGATCTTTGGTTTTTGAGAAAACTTCTGAGATTGAAATGGTTGTTGAGGGCGTTGTGTGAAGTAGGTGTGGGGGTTAAATTAGGAAGATAAGGTTCTAACATCCCATCTGAGAAAAAAGTAGAAAGGGAGTGTTTTGTAATATAGTGGCAAAATAATGTAATTTTTTTTTTGTTAAACAAAATAATGTAATTGATTCCATAAGAAAACCCTTATTATTCTATGTTGGCGCTTTTGTTTTTTCCATTATCAACGGAGGTTGTCATTTTCTTAGTATCTTTTTTCTTTAGTGGATCTATGATTGTGTGGATTTTCAACCTATCGTGATGGGCTTTTTTGGTATGATAAAACCTTCAATGAAGATATTACCAAAGAATTCAGAAACATATGTGTATTAAATGTTTGCATATAATTTTATTTTGGAAGTTCTATCATTATTTTAGGGCCATGTTGACGGCGTCAGCCAGGATTAAAACGGAAAGGAAAAAAAGAAAAAAAAGAAAGAAAAGAAGAGAACTCATCTCAACTGAGCCAATGTCACATAACTCATTAGTTCAAGCAATCCCCATTTTTTTTCCTTCTCTAAGCTCGTGGAATAACATAAAGGATGAAAGGAAGGAGGGGTCAAATGCTAATTTACTTTTAGAAAGGGTAAAATGGTTATGCCCAATATAATTTTTGTCAAAAGAATTAATTAATGTTGGGGTACTTTGCAACTTTTGAGAGCTGGTTGGTGACAAAAATAGTACGATGTGATATTAGCACAAGATGTTTAGTACAATTTTATTTTAAAGTTAATTGTAATACTAACTTGCTCGCATGCATATAGATTATATTTGCCCTTGTGTTTGTTGTTAATTGGCAGGATGTTGGATTCACAAAGGATTAATGTATGTGGGATGGAGCAAAAAAGTTGTGATGTTAATTACATCCAAGAATTTTTCTTTTTTAGAAAAAATTAAATTTTAGTAACCAATTTTAAATAAAATTGTCCTAAACTTACTATAAAGGAAGAAAAAAATGAATAGTAACTAAATCTCAAACTTTTGCATAAAAAGTGATGACTAAAGTTAAGATGTGAAAATTCCTCTCATTCAATACCACACTAAGCAATGAACAGTGCACTTAACAAAAACCCTAACCCCACAATAATGGTGATGGTGGTTAGAGAGAGACGGTAGAGGGGTCTGATAGAAGGAAGGTGAGAAGGGTAGTTTACAAAGAAAAAAATTAATAGTCACTTCTCTACAATTAAGTTCTATATTTGGCGACTATTCTTTTCTATTATTTTATTATTTTTTATGTTTACTTTAAAGCAATTTTATTTAGAATTTAAACACTAAAATATAATATTCTTAAAGGGAATAGGAAGAGAAAAAAATATCCCTTAAAATTTGCCTTCTAGTCACCTCAATTAAACTACTGCTCTCACTCTTTCTAGTGTATGCTCTTTTCTATATTGCTGTTTTTTCTTCTCTAAAATTATAGTCAATGGAAATAAAAAAATATCAGCTAACTTTGATCCACTGAAAACACGCGATCATGTTATAAGATCCTCATGATCTTGATTAATAAAGAAAAATAAATCACAGCATGATTATAAGGTTTGAATATCGGTTAATTCATATTTTTATAAGGCAAAAAAGCCAATTCTGATTTGGTTTTGAACAATAGGAAAAAGAAAACAGAAATTCAGGAAGCAATCATATGCATATTGTCGGTCTTTCTTTCCTTTGGAATGCTCCATTAGAATTTAATTCTACATTGACGCCATTATGGCAAAACAAATATGAGGAACAAGTTTATATACACATATATATAATAGGATTAAGTACATAAAATCTCTTATTGATCCCCATCGTGTAACAGCCACCACCATCGCCACCCATCAATTACCAATGACGCCATGACTATCATTTTTAATGCAAGAACCAACACAAAGCAATATGTATTTTGTATAATGAACTACTACCACCAGTGTCACTCCAAAACCAAATTAAAGTGTCTACAAGCAAAATAATTGTTTCAATAAACCTTGATATGAAACTCTAAGTCAACAATTATTTTTGCAATTTCATATAGAAGGCTATTGAGGGTAAGATTGATTCTGTGTCTCTTGGAATATCATTACGACATTTAAATAATTTGGTAGGGGAGGATTGAGGATATATGTGCAACAGCATCAAAAGCTGCTGAGGGTACTTTTGGCAAAAAAGTGAAAATTATCCTATTTGTAATTACTAATTACTTTTGTAAACTAATTTTTTCATCAAATACTATTTATTTCGTATTGTTATTACTATTTTTTGTATTTTGCTTTTACCTACTATAGATTTATTATTTTTTACTTCATTTTTTCGTTTTGAGCATTTATGCATATAATAAGTTCAGTAGCACTAACAATTTTCAAAACCCCATCTCTCACATCCAAAAACCCTAGATGCAACAATGGCATCAACAGCTCTCACCCCAATCTACTCGAAGCTGCTCTCTCGAATGTCTGTTCGTTCCCTCTGCACTGTCGGTCCTTCCGACTCAAGGCAGTGGAAGAGGTGTATGATGATCCTCTATACGTGGAGGAGTACCGGAGGAGTTACTACGGCAACATCGATCTCTCACACAGTCACTATAAGATGGGAAAGATCGTGAAAGTAAGTACTACTCTGCTAGAATCAGATATTTAAGCTGCTTTTGTAACCGAGGTATTGGTGGGACGGGAGTCTTAAGAATTTGCGTTGTTTGGGACGACAATGGGTGGAATTTCAAATACTGTTTTCAGCCCTGAAATTGGAATAACATTTTCTCCAATTTTAATTCCAAAGCACTAATTCCACGCAAAACAACACTGTAACGTATGTCTAAGGTCTTCCTACTCTCTAGTTTCTATCTATCTCTGTATTCTTTCGTTCCATATCACCTCTTCTATCGAGATTAATCATGTCTTCAGACTGTATATCCAGATAGTAAACTAAATAACATAACATCATTATGTATAAATGTTTATGCTCAATGAATTTGTTATAGAACTATTTGAATAGCTTATATTAGGGAAGGAAAGGGATTACAAACCATTGTTGGTGTGGAGCACTTGCGACCGTTGCAACCGATGAATGTAATGCATTTTCTACTAATGCAGTTGGTGATGCAATCAACGGTGAGGGCACAGGTGAGTGTGTTTATGATGCATGTGTCCTCATTTTTCATTACTTTTCACTCGAATGTTAATTTTAGTACAAGTTATGTGATTTAAAAGCTCTATTTATAGCTTACGAGCTTAGAGCCTGATGCAGTTGTATATTTTCATTGATAATATGTTGCACATTTTTATTATTATTTGTCATTTAAATAAATCCAATTTGAATTTGGGTGGGAGCATCCTATAGATTGATACCCCATATTAAAAGAGATAACAGTAAAAAGAAAAATATGAAGGAGGGGGAAATCTGTAAATCTTATCTCTAGGCATCAAATGAATACATAAAACATAGATACTATTTAGAGCCCGTTTGGGATTGCTTCTCTACCACTTAAATGCGATTTCATTTCAAAAATATTGCAGTTAGATGTGCTTGGTGACATTAAAGACTAAAAGTTATGCAGTAGAGATTTCCTAAAAAAAGTATAATTGCATTTTAGGTAGAGGTAGGTAATTACTTTTTTTAGAGAATCTAATCCTCTCTTCTTAAATGTAGGTGAGCTCTTTTTACCCATATATCAAGCATATTAAAGTTCAGCATAGATAATTAAAATTCAACATAGATTTTGTCCTGATTTTTTGGGCCTAATTATTTTAGCTTGGGTTGTCGCAATAAAGCTGAAAGCTTGGCCTAATTATTTTAGCTTGAATGCATGATTTATCTTCAAGAATAAATCTAGGTATTTCTTCTTCTTCTTTTCTTTCTTTCTTTTTTTTTTTTAAAAAAAAAAAAAAACTTGTTTGATAACGATACTAAGATTGAAAAAGGATACAATAAGTTTTATAACCAGTAATCATGCTGTGTTAACCATCAATCATGCCATATGAATGAATCATACTAACATTAATAACATGCAACATTGTTATTGGTGTATGAATAATATAGTAAATTGGTAATAAAAGTGCTTTAATCAACATTGTTACCAAACAAATTTAAAAGTGCTTTAAGTATAAAAAAATGTTTTATACAATGCATCACCACACACAACATGTTTTTTTTATTGACAACAATACTGCTAAAAATGCTTTCATCATTCTAGCAACGATCCCAAACGGGTTCTTATTCCGAGTTTTGTTATGTTCATTCTATAGGTGTTGCATAATATTACTTTCTTTCTTTTTTTTCTTTTCTTTTTTTTTTTTTTTTTTTTTTGTTCATAAAACTCATTTGAGTCATTTTTACTTGGATTCTTAATTACCTACGACTAAACCTGGATTGAGAACAAATTTCAAGTCATGGTCATGATAAAAACATGAAATTGAGGTTGCAATTTACAATTATTAATTCATTTAAAAAGGGAATCAGAAGGCAGTGCAAATATTAGTTGAAGTTACATTTCTTTTCCATTATTGAAGTGCTAATGCCTTTTTTTTTTTTTTTTGGATAAGTAACATATCATGGTATAGCACTCGAATGGGGAGCACATCCCAAATACAAGGCTTACAGCCAAAACAATATGCTACATCTTCAAACTATCCCTAAAAATCATCATATCCTCTACAAATTTATGTTTTTTTGCTTGCGGGTCGTGGACCCTATTTAATACTCTCTTGTAATCCGATATATAAGGGTGTTTAGGGTTTGGAGTGGGATAGAGTGAGACTAAAAATCGCAAAAAAAGAGAGTGAGACTAAAAATCGCAAAGAAAGAGAGTGAGAGCGAGAGCGAGAGCAAGAACTAGGGTTTGGGGTTGAAACTTGTAGTGTCCTGATTTTTGCATAGTGAAATCTTTTGTCGAATCTTCACGGTGGACTTAGGCACAACTTGTGTCGAACCATGTAAATCTTTGTGTTGTTTGTGCATGACGTGTTTACTTTTCTTTGGTGTTTTGTGATTTGGTTTTAGTTTGTTGTGTTTGATGTAATACTTGCTATATTTTTGCATGATGTTTTTATATTA